TACGGCCATAAATATTTTCTCGTGAATTTTGAAAGGACGAGGGTGGTGGTGGTGGTGGGGGGGGGTGAATAATAAAGCGTTATCGTAAGACGTGAGATAGTGAGAGTATAAATTAAGTTTCTCTATTATCAATGGAATGGGTAATAAATTCGGAACTTTTTTTTTCGATCTTTATTTCTGTCTTTCCGTCTTTTTTATATCTTATTTTAAGAGGTGCATAATTATTCTTCCCGAATCTTGAAGAAAGAGGAGATAAAAATGTGAATGTCCTTTTTTGAGATGCCATTTGTCTGCAACAAGAGCATTTGTATGTGTTTGTGTGAGAAAGAGAGAGAGAGAGAGTGCGTGGGGGAAAAAAATTAAAGTCCCGAAGAGTAAAATATTGAAATAGTCTGCGCTTTGTCGACGTTTTCTCAAACAGCGTGGGACGTTTCTTCGGGATTTAGGTTGTTCTTGCTGATCTAAAGTCTCCTATCTCATGGGTGTAAGTTCGAATAAAAAGCAAAAAAAAGAAAAAAAAAAAGAAGAATAAAAGTCTTCAATAGATTTCTTACCACCCTGTAAATCCTGTATTATATGCCCTCATTCGTTTTCCTGCAGTCACACCTCGAACATTTTCTATGGAAAACTTGAAAGAAAATGGGAAGTGAAGAACGGAAGGAAGAGAAAACGGAGAATGGAATTGCGGTATAAAAAAAAAATGAAAAATGATATTATCAGTAAAATGCAAATAAGGCAAACTGGGTGTCGTTACTGTATTAAAAATGACCTAAGCGTCAGAGACAGATAGTAGAGGAGCGTTGGTCGACTTTGGACGGTTGACAAGACCATTTGAAAGGAATCTGTGGTTTATGGGGAATATATTTTTTTTGTATTCTTTTTTCTCTCCATCTAGTTATCGGTACATTTATAGCATAACTGCCATATATCATTGGTGGATAACACCCCTATACAGAAGATTTCTTTTATTTTATTTCTAGGTTTCTCTCTCTCTCTCTCTCTCTCTCTCTCTCTCTCTCTCTCTCTCTCTCTCTCTCTCTCTCTCTCTCTCTCTCTCTCTCTCTCTCTCTCTCTTTCTTAAATCCTCTCTCTCTCCCCTCTTCGCTTCTTTCCCTCCCTCGATCTACCCTTTGTCTTGGTCTCTTCCTAGTTTTATTTTCCTTCCAGCATCTTCACCTTTCCCCTCTCTCTTCTTCTTCTACCTCTTTTTATCCATCCTCCTCCTCCTCCTCTCCCTCCTCCTCTTCCTCCTCCTTTTCCTCCTTCCCTTCCTCTTCCTCCTCCTCTTCCTCCTCCTCTTCCTCCTCCTCCTCCTCTCCCTCCTCCTCTTCCTCCTCCTCTTCCTCCTTCACTTCCTCTTCCTCCTCCTCTCCCTCCTCCTCTTCCTCCTCCTCCTCCTCTCCCTCCTCCTCTTCCTCCTCCTCTTCCTCCTTCCCTTCCTCTTCCTCCTCCTCTCCCTCCTCCTCTCCCTCCTCCTCTTCCTCCTCCTCCTCCTCTCCGTCCTCCTCTTCCTCCTCCTCCTCCTCCTCTCCGTCCTCCTCTCCCTCCTCCTCTTCCTCCTCCTCTTCCTCCTCCTCTTCCCTCCTCCTCTTCCTCCTTCCCTTCCTCTTCCTCCCTCCTCTTCCTCCTCCTCTTCCTTCTCCTCCTCTCTTCCTCTTCCTCCTCTTCTTCCTCCTCTTCCTCCTCCTCCCTCTTCCTCCTCCTCTTCCTCCTCCTCCTCCTCTCCCTCCTCTTCCTCTTCCCTTCCTCTTCCCCTCCTCTTCCCTCCTCCTCTTCCTCCTTCCTCTTCCTCTCCTCCTCCTCTTCCCTCCTCCTCTTCCTCCTCCTCTTCCTCCTCCTCTTCCTCCTTCCCTTCCTCTTCCCCCTCCTCTCCTCCTCCTCTTCCTCCTCCTCTTCCTCCTCCTCCTCCTCTTCCTCCTCCTCTTCCTCCTCCTCTTCCTCCTCCTCCTCCTCTTCCTCCTCCTCTTCCTCCTCCTCTCCCTCCTCCTCTTCCTCCTCCTCCTCCTCCTCTCCCTCCTCCTCTTCCTCCTCCTCTTCCTCCTCCTCTTCCTCCTCCTCTTCCTCCTCCTCTTCCTTCTCCAAATCCTCCTTCCCTTCCTCTCCCTCCTCCTCTTCCTCCTCCTCTTCCTCCTCCTCTCCCTCCTCCTCTCCCTCCTCCTCTTCCTCCTCCTCCTCCTCTCCCTCCTCCTCTTCCTCCTCCTCTTCCTCCTTCCCTTCCTCTTCCCCCTCCTCTCCCTCCTCCTCTTCCTCCTCCTCTTCCTCCTCCTCTCCCTCCTCCTCTCCCTCCTCCTCTTCCTCCTCCTCCTCCTCTCCCTCCTCCTCTTCCTCCTCCTCTTCCTCCTCCCCTTCCTCTTCCCCCTCCTCTCCCTCCTCCTCTTCCTCCTCCTCCTCCTCTTCCTCCTCCTCTTCCTCCTCCTCCTCCTCTTCCTCCTCCTTTTCCTCCTCCTCTTCCTCCTCCTCTTCCTCTTCCTCCTCCTCTTCCTCCTCCTCTTCCTCCTAA